TGGGACCTTGTACACACAAAGCATGCACTCCACCCTGGAGTTATGGGTCTTCCTTTAAAACGGTGGAGGAGGGAACTTTGGCATTCTGCATTTGTTTCTAAAAGTGCTGGGTTACAGAAGTGGTGGAAGAAAAGCTTTTATCTCTAAGAGCATCTGAAACAGCTTAGTGGCTGCATCTTTTGTGGGTTTTTATATGTACTGTTTTTTAAAAGCATCTTTTTGGAACAGAGATTCAAGAAGCCCGAGAAAAGAGCTTAGATATTAAAGAATGCATCAAGGAGGGTTGGTGTTTTGCTTTAGAGCTGGTAAAAATAAGAAAGTGGGAACAATCTGCTTGGAATATGCAATAAACCTTCCAGGGCAGAGAGACTTTGCTGTGTTAAACTGCATCAATTAAACTCTGCCAGTGGAGTTGTTGCAATTACCGTATTTTTCGCTCCATAAGACGCACCTGACCATAAGATGGACCTAGTTTTTAGAGGAGGAAAACAAGAAAAAAAAGATATTCTGAACGAAACAGTGGATGTATGATTTTTGTGGTTCATGCTGTGGCCACAGACATGATATCTGATTTGACGGTGAGTTTGGGGTAGCCCAATGCAAAAATCCTGAGGATCCATGTGGATCCGTGCTTTGTAACTAGGTTTTTGCGCCATTACGGTCCCACGAAACAGTGGATGCATGTTTTTATGTGTGTAGGCTGTAGCCATGGACATGCTATGTGATCTGATGCTGAATTTGGGGTGACCCAGTGCAAAAATCCTGAGGATCCATGTGCTTTTACCTCCCCCTCCCAGGCAGCCTCCTTTATCTCTAGAGTCCCTTATCTCCCTCCCGATCCCTTGCCGATCAGCTGCTCAGCGGCTTTGTTTCGACACCCCCTTCCCTCTTGTTTGCCTTAGTGTCTTTTCCTTAGCTGGAGCAGTTTTTTGCTCCTCCTTTTCTTCTAATTTCTCTCCTCATTGCTTTAATCTTCCTGTCTCCTCTCCTTGCAAGTTCACTGTCTTTACCTCCCACCTCCCAGGCAGCCTCCTTTATCGCTAGAGTCCCTTATCTCCCTCCCAATCACTTGCTGATCAGCTGCTCAGTGGATTTGTTTCAACACCCACTTCCCTCTTTCTAAAAAATAAAGCACGACCTGCTTTTTGCCCCTGGGCAATTCGGCTCCAGGGACAACGCATTCGCTCCATAAGACACGCAGACATTTCCCCTTACTTTTTAGGAGGAAAAAAGTGTGTCTTATGGAGCAAAAAATACGGTACATTGGACTTCCAAAGGTTTTTTTGTTTTTGTTTTAATCAGATATAGAGCTGAGCAAAATTTTGTTCAACTAGAATTGAAAGGATTTGGGGAAAAGATTGCCTGACTTCATCCCCAGTGCTTTTGTGTGTGTGCGCTCCCACCACAATGTATTTTACAGTCCTGGCAATTACAGTGTTGATGTTCTTCAGAGGCTAAGTAGCTGGAGAACAGCACCATTTCCCCTCCCATCAGCCTCCTGATTTCTGACTAGGGCTGGGAGAGAAAATTCAGCTTGGAATTTAATGCAAACCTCCCAAAAATATTGCACTTCCTGAGCCAATACGTGAACCGATTACACAACTCTCTTTCAAAATTCACACTTATCTGAATTCTGCGATGCAGCCCTTCAACCAAATAATGTGCAGAAAATGTCTAGATTAGTGAAAAGTGAATGCAAAAGTGAGTATCAGAGTGAAAATAATGTACAAACAGGACTTCAGCTAGAGAGAAATTGCTTGCAAAAACACATATGCCAAGCACAGTTATAAGGCCTGAGGTTAATGGGAAGCCTCCCCAACAAAAATGACCTCCAAAAAGTGTTGCTATCTTCATTTTCGCTCATTGAAAGTGAGGGGGGGGGAATCTGAGCTCGATCTGTAGCCCAGCTTTAATTCTGCCACCTCAAATCTCTTCTAGCTCATTCTGCTGTGTGTGTAGGCCAGGCCTTTGATGAGCCTGTACATGTGGACTATTGGGGTGGGGAATCTGGGTCATGCATGCAACTCATCAGTGTAATGGAGCCCGTCAGTATAATGCTAGCAGGAAAACAGACATGTGGGTTTCTCCAGGTTTTTGAGATGCTTAGGGCTTCTTCACGCATGCTTGCAGATCATTTGGTTTCTTTCCACTTGGTAGGGAGCTGAATGTATGAACAGACTCTACTGTAGAAGTGCTGCATCTGATGTGCTTGGATGGCCTGTGGTGATGTGCCTGTGATGTCTCATTTACTCTTGCAAATTGTTTCCTGATGTTGCAGTCCTCAGTCATCAGCAAGATGCATCTGCTCTCAGGAATGCCAGCTTCTGTGAGTGGGCTGAAGTGAACAACTATCCTTTCAGTGGAATCGGTGCGCTTTTGCAAATATAAGTTTCCCTTCTGCCTCTCAATCGGAAATGTTCTATGGAAGCAAGAGAAGAGATACCATGGAGAGACCAGAGCTGGGGGGAGGTACAGAGACACCTTTGTGAAACGAATAACAATTGTTGGGAATCACAAAGGAAGAGAGTGATGTTGCTTGGAATGGAGGAGGAATCTGCAAATGCTGGATTCCAAAGCAGACTCACCTGATACGAATCTGATATGGATCACAACCCAGATTGAATCATGAGTCCCCTTCAGAATCCACAACCCTGTGGATCCCTTTATGAGGTACCTGAGAGCTGCAGTTCCCAAAACACTGAGCATAAGGCTGGCAACCTGTGCTGTGGTTCCCAAGCACCCAAGACCCCATGGATATTGGGTGCTTGTGAACTCCATGAAAGAGATTTTGATAGGTGGGTGGGACAACCCCTGACAATCGTGCAACATCATAATGGCATCATGTGGTTTACAGGTGAGTTGCCCTGCTGTACTGTATTCAAGGTGCATGGTGGAAAGAAGCCCTTCATGCTAGTTGCTTGAGGCTCTTGACAGCTGGGTGACCTGCTCAGCAGCTTTTGAAAAAATGTTGCTATACAAAGGCAGGTTTTTTTTAGCCCTTGAACCACCTTGTAAGCACTTTTTTAAAAACAAAAAACCTTAATATTTCTACATATTCACATTTCTTTCCACTTTAAAATCAGCAGAGAAATGAAAGGGGATGGACTTTGCTACATTCCTAGGCAGAACAAGGATAGACCAGACTTTAATGGGTCCATCTGACCCTAGCTGTTGCATTCAGGTCGTGCTTTCAGAGATCTGGTTGGCCACTGTGAGGACAGGATGCTGGGCTAGTGTCAGGCTTCAGGGAATTGTCTTCCTCCCTCATGGCAGTAGATAAGCAGAACAAAGGAAAATGAGTCTTCTTACCGGTTATAAACTTTAATAATCACAGCAAGAAAACAAAGAACACATCTCCTAGAAATGGCGGTGCTCCCAATTAAGGAACCCATCCCCTGTCATCCCTATTAATCTACGTCACCTTTACGTTTTGTAATCTGAGCTTGTACCCTTTGTGCTTTCTGTTTTGCCATTTTCTGAGCTCTCTTTGTTTTGGAGAAGGTGTGTGTGTGTGTGTGTGTGTGTGTGTGTGTGTGTGTGTGTGAATGCTGTCCAGAGACTGTGAACCTGTTAACCCTCTCTCTCCCAGTGTTCCTTCTCCTAGCTGTTCCCCATCCAGTATATCCCAGCTTCTGCCTTCTGAACCATGCCCCTCTGCAAACCACTGTTCCAAATCTATACTATTCTCCTGCTCCTGGGAAGATTCAGGATCCGGATCAGGAGCATGGGGAGGCAGAGGCTCCCACCATTTCTCCTCAGTGCAGCCCTCCTCAGCATGGTCCCTGATAGCTCGTTAGACGTGTGGCTTTTATTTATGCAGCGCTGTTGCAGACTGCAATGCATCTGGCCCAGACATCACTTGCTTCTGGATGAACAATTGGACTATTTGAGTACAGAGCTGGTGTTCCCACAAGGTGAATTTTAGGTGGCACAGCATTGTCTAGAGAGAGAATAATGTTTGCTATAGCAACTTTCTCTCACAGTGTGCCTTGGTGGTGACTCCTACACTTTGGTGACTGCATCAGGCAAGTCTCTAGGGAAAGGTCAAGGGGCCAGCAGCCAATCTGAGCATTAGTGAGAGATTGTGGGCAAGTGATCCCAGACATTGAAGATGTAAGCATTTGGTTGGGTGACCCTTTCTTAGGATTTTACTCCAGGAAATAAACTGCCACAGGGGCCGGTGGGCTGAAACGGACTTTGGACATGCCTGCTTTAAGGAGTCCAATGTGCTTTAAAACTGAACAAGCCTTGTGTGCCATCTTAAGCCCCCAGACTTTTCCAGCTCCTTGCGGTGTCCCTCTCTCCTCATATTGTTTAATGAAAGAAGCATCCTCAGCCAGCCAAGACTCACCGGGAGCTCTCCGAGGTGCTGATCAGGCTGCCTGGATTTGTAAGCTTTTTGATTATCCCTGTTGTGCCTGTATCTGCCCTCACTACTGGACATCGCAAGTAGAGTCAGGCAACTGTGACTATACCCAAGGGGTGGAGAGCCTCTGAACATGAGGCTGGATGCCACCTGCATGTCCTCAGGCCCTCCCCTCAGGCACACCTACTGTTTAGAAGGGAGCAGCAGAAAGGGAAAAGGGGCTTGGATGTTCTGCAAAGTGTGCAATTGTCTCCTTCCTCTGTGAGAAAATCTGCTTTGAGGAGTTCAAAGCACAGGGGGAAGCTTCTCAGTGCGGAGAGAAAATTTTGTTCCTAATAAATTTACAGAAAGCCATTAATCCATTTTGTAGTTGCATACATGCAGGGTTTTTTTGTTTCGTTTTTATTTTAAAGTGCAATTGCATTTTGAATTTTGAGGTTTGTGAATAACTGCAAGACAGGGTTTGCAGTTCAGCTGTGCATTGGCGTTATTTACATCCTTCTGCTGCGACTGCTGAGTCCTTTTTTTGCCTTTTGTGCAGTCAGGACCCCAGAGAGGTTTGTTTGTTTTAAAATTTACTCATTTATAAACGTTTTCAAATAAATAAAGTTTGCTGGAGATCATTTTTATTTCTTTATTTTAAAAACTTTGAAAAGAAAATCTATGGCAAAAATGGGAGGTGACACTTGAGTGAAATGGCATGACACCGTTTCCATGGGAAATAGCTCTGTGTCTGTGCCTCAGTCCACATTTGGGTTCAGTCCTGCCCACTACTGGAGTGCTGCTCCCAACAGGTTTCCACAAGGTGAAAGTAGGACTTGGTCTGAAAAAGGTTCACTACCTTGCTGCACTTGCTGTGACTGTGCCTACCTAATAGGATGCAAAGTGATGAGCATTGCAAAACAGGATTCTGGGGTGCTGCACTAAATCCTTGAGGTACGGCAGATTGAAATAAATCAAAATAAATATCAAATACTTTGCAGTTCATTGACCCCTTTTATTGAGTCAGTTTTGTTTTTGAAATACAAATGTTCCTTGTCTAGATTTGTGTTTTGCCACCAATCCCCCCCCCCACTCCAGATACTGTGACCTAGGTAGGTCAGATATCACACCGGAGAAGCTGAGGGGCCATCTGACTCGCATGGGGGTAAGGCAGTAGTAAACAACAATGCAGAAAGCGGTTGAACACCAGACACACCAAAATGACACACAGGCCTCAGTTGCTGATGTCCCAAAGCTTGTTCACGCAGGAACTGCCGCCCAAGTAACGCTGGGGCATTCCTGGGACATTGATATGTACAATAAGGGGCAGTTCAATGTGTGCCTTTCTTCGCTGCTGGAGTTCCTGAGCGGATGTAGCAAGGCTTTAGCTGGCTCCCCAGGGTTCCAATGTCAGAACGGCGAGGAAAATACAAAAGAGAAGGGAGCCTTCACAATTGAAGGAAGGCTTTTGTGCTATTGGAGAATCCTGATTTGAACTTGCAGGCTTCCTTGGATTTGTGTTGCTTTGGCACAGTGGCGCAACGAGGGTAAAGAGTTACTCTCCCTGCAGTGGTGCAACTTGCTGTTGATTATGAGGAGGATCCGAAGGCAACCCATGCACGAGGCGCCACCAACTTTTCATTTCTGTCTCCCTGTCCAGAGTTCAATTGGGTGCATGGTCCTCTTCCCAGAGCTAGAAGGGCAGCTCATATTAGAGAAGCAAGTTAATGGGTTTACCAATTTTTGCTTATCACAGAGAGATAAAACTGTAATAACACAGATGAGCAGTGCATGAAAAATCACAACATTCCCATTTCTGTTGCTGAGCAGTACTGATTACTTTGTGATTAAGCTCTTACCAGCGGAGGTCTAGAGTCCTTTCCCAGTACTGTGGCATTCCCTTCTCCTCGCCTGGCAAGAGCTGGAATAAATTGACTGTTTCAAATCTGCAAATCAAAATCAAATATCTGTTCCTCTGAATGAATAACTGAATTTAAATTTGGTAGCCAGTGGCAAAAGGAAACAAAAACATTATCTTATGCAATGTGTTGTACTTCATCACTTCAATACTTCCATTATCTGCTAAAGTGGAGTCAAAACACTAAGGGTGTGCACTGGCCACAAGATTCAGTTTTTATCTGTAGCTTTGGGAAGCAGCAGTTTTGGAGCCACTCTGTAGTTTTCCAGTTTGACTCATAATTTGAGACAAAATTATATTTGTTGAGAATGAAGCTCCCCCATCTTCACTAAAACGATGAATCTAAAAGAAAAGACTATATTTTTTTTTCATATGAGTGGATGAAATTTGCAGGCACGTTAGTTCCTCCAGAGTGGATTAAGCCAGCCAAATGTTCAGAGATACAACTAGGGTTTAGTGTGTGTGTGAACGACACTTTTAAAGTTTGATTTAGAAAAGAAAGAAAATGTATTTTGTTTTCTGCCAACATGTGATGCAATTTGCAGGCATAGTCTGCCTTTATGATGGAATGAAGCACACCAAATTTCAGAATGATAGTTGAACTGGTTCCCCTGCAAGGGAAGTATTACCATTATGGAGTGGATACAGTAGTATGCATAGGGGGTAATAGGGGTGGGGAAAAGAGCAAGAATCTTCAGGAAATACTAGGATGGGGGAACTGCCAATGTACTCCAGCAAGAACCTTACTACCCCATGTGTTGTTGGACTTTTGCTCCCCTGCTGGATTTTTGGGGATACAACCCCTTCTGCCTCAGGGAGGGAGATATCACCACTGACTTGTATAGAAGAAGGGGTGATGCAGCAGGTGGAACGGGACATGATCCATGTGAAGAACAAACTGTTTTAATATTTAGTCAACATTTCCGCTCCAAATCACTGTGAATGGAGTGTTCTGGGAAAATAATTGCCTCTACAGGGCATTTCCCTAGCCAGTTTCGTTTTGCTTTGATTAAAAAAGAAATGCAGTGTGTATTTTTGAGTGGGGACACAGAGTCCACAGAGCAACTTGCAAGTTTAGAGAGTCAGTGATCTGACTTGAGATGTCTCTTCAACAGTGCAGTCTGGTAATCCAGGAAGTATACAGAGCCACTGTAGATTCCTACACAATACTAGCAAATAATGAATGGAGGAACAGAATGAACACTGATGTGTTAATCAATGGCCCAACCATCTACAACATAACAAAGATATGTGCAGTGAACTTTTCAAAATTACTTAAAGCCAACACAGGATGATTAAGAAAACATCAACCCTGTAAAAGACATTCAATCAATGCCAGTCTTAAGAATTCACTTCAGAACCAAAGAAATTCACACCCAAATATCACTTGGCAGTTGATGCCTCTCTTGTGGGTACTCTGTTCATGGTTGTAGGGGGGACTTAACATTTGCAACTACTTGCAAAAGTCCACAATGTTTGTGCACTGCTCCTTTCTCCCCCTTCTGGCCATTCCTACAGTTCAGCTAAAATTCTGTAGTTGTGACCTGGGTCACTTCTGACTGCAGTTCATCCACTCTGCGTCCACGGGAGCCCCTCTTGTGGCTGTCCATGTCTAGTCATGCCGACTTATTGAGGACTTCAGAAGGAGTGCAAGTCGAGACACGCTCTCGTGTGGTGTTCCTGGCCCGGCTGAAGCTGCTCTGCTCCCTGTGTGACCGGAAGGGGAGGCAGAATTCTCGGAAGCACCTCTTGAAGTTCTCATCCAAGAAAGCATAGAGGACAGGATTGAGGCTGCTGTTGGTGTAACCCAGGGCAATGCAAAAGTGGAGGCTGGCCATCACATAGGGGTTCTTCTTGTCGATGCCCACCAGGGTCCAAACAATGACAAAGATCTGGATGGGTGTCCAGCAGATGATGAAGGCAGCCACCACCACCAGCACCATGCGTGTGATACGGCGCAGGTTGCGGTCCTTCTCCTTGGAGCCTGAGAGGAGGCGGACGCTCTTCAGGCGGAGAATCATGAGCCCGTAGCAGATGGTGATGACCAAGATGGGAACCAAGAAGGCAAAGATGAAGACGCAGATCTTGGTGACTGTGTCCCAGTAGATCTGAGGTTCAGGAAACTGCAGGAGACACATCACGATGCCACCTGCAGCAAAAGGAGAGGAAGAGAGTGAGGTGACTTTCATTCAGCAGATGGAGATACAGAGATAGAGAGGTGTCCAGCTTGGACATTATTTCTCAAGGCTCCATCAGCACAGATGCTGATTTTCACTGCTGTCTGTTCATTGAAGCAAATGTAGGAATATCAGGACTTGCTGATATTGTAACTCCTAACTCATGCCAACATAATGGAGTATTCCTAAGAGTGCCTTCTTTATGACTCAATCAACTAACTGGAACTCACAAAGCGAATAAAGCAATTTCATTTTTTAATACTAATAGTAATATTAATAATACAAGTAATACTACTACTGATATTAATAGCAACAACAGCAGCAGCAGCAGCAACAACAACAATAATGCAAGTGGAAGCTCTTCTCCGTGAGCCTACAGGCTCTCTCCCTCACCACCCAAGCCTGCCTCCCTGTCATGATCTTTCAAAGACTTTCAGCCCTCTTCTGAGAGCCAGTGTGGTGTAGTGGTTAAGAGCGGTAGTCACGTAATCTAGGTAACCGGGTTCGCGTCTCCGCTCCTCCACATGCAGCTGCTGGGCGACCTCGGGCCAGTCACGCTTCTTTGAAGTCTCTCAGCCCCACTCACCTCACAGAGTGTTTGTTGTGGGGGAGGAAGGGAAAGGAGATTGTTAGCCGCTTTGAGACTCCTGAAGGGGAGTGAAAGGCGGGATATCAAATCCAAACTCTTCTTCTTCTTCTTCTTCTGGTGTTCTGGCTGTGGCCAGCCAAGGAAGGAAGGGACATTTACAGTACCTCTCACTGCTCCAGCACACAAAAGGCAGGGTCAGTGCAAGACATTGCAGCTCCTGAAACTGCCTCCGCCACCTATCTTCCTGCTGCTTCCTCCAACCTAACTTGCCTGCTGGCCTGGTTGCTTGCTCACTGCTAGCAAAGAGGCTTTAAATCATAGAATCATAGAATCATGATTCTAAATCATAGAATCATAGAATCATGATTCTAAAGACTTAAGGTAAATGTTAAACAGTAACTCCAAGCAACAGTAACTCCAAGCAACTTCACCCACAGTGCCTCACCCATTTCTCAGAGTGAGGCACTGAGCACTCATGCCTTTGTTGGCAGCTACCATGAAGGTTGGAGGAAAGCAGCAGGGTGGGGCAGAAGTTGGTAGGGAGAAGTGGTGGCAGGGCTAGCGAGCTAACCAATCAACTGGCCAGCAAGCTGCCACTCCCAATTCGCCATCTCAGCCATGTGACTCATTGTGCCCTCCACATCCACTAGGGGAATGTTCTCTGGCTCAGAATCAAAATCTGAGATGGAGAAGAATTTGGGACTTTCAACACGTGCTTTGTCTTTGAGGCGGAACAGTATAAGCCCATGAGACTTGCATTTCCCATTCTAGAAATAGGAGTCTCTGGAACCATGCTTTTAGATAGCTCCTTTTCCTGGAGTTTAGACAAGGTGGTGGTATTTAGTGTCCTGTGGTTTAGAACTACCTTTTTTTTTTTTGCTTTGTTGTTCTTGGTGGTTCTTCAGATCCACCTCCTGATGACTAGATGGTTGAATTTACCTTAAATGGGTGATATATGGTTTTAAATAGGCAACAAGGTTGGGGATATGGTGTGCAGGGAAGGGTTCTTTAACTTTTGAAAAACCAAACACTATTTTGTCCTCTGCCAAGGTCCCATAGGAACTACTTTGGGGAGGGAGACATTTTCTATCTATTGCAGGAAAGAAGCTGCTATTTGTGGCAGAACAGTTTCAAAAGTGCTCTGAAAAGTCAGAGGAGGTTCATGACTGACACAGGGACTAGCCAATTAGTATTGTGGTGTGGGGAAGTGGCCTCATGCTTGAAACAGTGCTGTGCTAATATGCCTTCCACTGAAAACGGAAAGATCCAATGTTCCCTAAGCTTAGTTCAAGTCAGAAGGTTCTACGTGTGTCCAAAATGTGGTGAGGGAACTTTTACAGCAGACTCACTGATAAAATCACACACATCTATGTACAGCCTTATGGGCATCTCTGGCTGTGGTTCAGAGAGCAGGAAAGTGGCGTCTCTGCCTTCCAAAGCCCACACAAAGGAGGATTGACTGGAATGTGGCAACAAGACACTTGCCTTGAGATCGGGTGACAGCCATGATCATGATGGGCACCCCAATGACAGACGAAAGAACCCAGATGCAAACATTGATTAACTTCGCTTTTGCTGGGGTCCGGAAATCCAGGGCCTTGACTGGATGGCAGACCGCTATGTACCGGTCCACGCTCATCATGGTGAGGGTGAAGATGCTCGTAAACATGTTGTAGTAGTCAATGGAGAGGACAACCTTGCAGAGCAGCTCCCCAAAAGGCCAGGTCTCCATCAGGTACTTAGCACTCTGGAAGGGCAGTGTGCTAGTGGCCAAGGCATCTGCCAAGGCCAAGTTGAAGATGTAGATATTGGTGGCTGTTTTCATCTTGGTGTATCTGCAGGGAGGAGACAAAGGGAAAGGCGTGTCAACTGTAGATTATGCTTGCTCTCTGCCCAGGAAGCATGGATGTTTCCTGGTCTGGATGAACAAAGGCCCCCAAGCTATCAGATTTCTTGGCTGTGTTGTTGTGCCCTTGTTTAGCTGGCGTGAAAAAAGAAAGAGGCCTGCAATTAATGGTACAGTTAGTTCAAAGTAGTATGTGAAATTCAGGCCCCCACCTCTGGGGATGGATTTATCATTCTTCCTCTGGTCCCTGTCAGTTTCAGATGCATTCATTTATACATCTGGTCCAATAGCATTAATCTGCTTTTCTAATTAAAAAATGCATGAAAATCCATATTTTTTTCACAAGTGCTGCATTGCTAAATCAGTACACATTTTTAATATACGTCTCATTACCTTTTAAAGCAGAGAACTGCATCACAAAGTTTGGAGAAGTGCAAAATGGCAAGGATAGCTCTGCAGTTCATGCCTGCTCATTAGTTCAGGAGGTGTCAGCCAGGTCAGTTCATAGTGAACTTGGGAAAGAATTAATTCCATATGCATCCTCCCCTCCTAATCACTTTTGGTAGGACTTTGTAAGTCAATACAAGGACCATGAACTTGGCTGGGTAGCAGGTGGGTAGCTGATGCAGCTGTTTTAACAATGCTGCTACACGTTCTTAGCCAGAAACTCCCATCAGCAGTCTGGTCACTGCATTCTGCACCAGCAGGAGCTTCCAAACCAGACCCAAGGGCAGCCCCACACAGAGCACATTGCAGTAAACCAGCCTTGAGGTTACCAATACATGGACCACCATGGTCAGGCTATTTTGTACCCCCAAGGGCGGAGGCAGTTTGCTTCTGAATACCAGTTGCTGGAAATCACAGGACAGGAGGGTGATCTGGGGACCCGAGGTTGGGAAAAGCTAGACTAGCCTTTAGAATAGGGAGCCAGTGTGGTGCAGGGGTTAGAGTCTAAGACTCGGGAGACCAGGGTTCAAATCCCCACTTGGTTACGAAGCTCACTGGGTGACCTTGGGCCAGTCACCTCTCAGCCTGACCTACTTCACAGGGTTGTTGTGGGGATAAAATGAGGAGAGGGAGAACTGTGTGCACCACTTTGAGCTCCTTGTACAAAAAAAGGGTGGATATAAATGCAATAAAATAAATGCAATAAATAAATGTTGGCGCTGGAAGACCCTACTCCATGAAACCATCAGGAAGACCTGGAGACTGTTGCTGTTTATTAGCCCAAACTTATTCACAGGGCTGTCAGGAAAGATCCAGTGGGGGGGGGGGGAGGCCACTGAGCCCTTTGGAAGAAGGATGGAATGAAAATGCAATATATTTTTTATTGAAACATGGGGAAGGAGAGCGAAGAAATGACTATAGTTTCTCCTCAGCAGGCTCCTTATTGTTCTGCCTCCTTCCCTCATCTTTCGCCTTTATTCTTTCATATCCTTCCTTCCCACATTAATCTCTCCTAGAGGGAATATATCTGACCAGAACTTTGATTTTCTTCTCTCTTTATTACCACCAGGGTCCATTTTCTTCATTTTACTGTCTTGATGAACAAGAACTTATCCATTAAATATGGATTTGAATGCTTAAATTATTCAAGGAAGCAAAGGGCTCAAACGAGTGACTAGTTTTCCCTCCATCATTGCAGGGGAAAAGTTGAACATCTCAAAGATACTGCTGTCACACATGCCCAGTAGTTTCTGCTGTCACATTGGAACCAGTGCTTTCTTTTATTCTAGGTCAATATGCACACTTAAGAGCCGCCTGAACCACTAAGACTTAAATGCCGGTAAGTATGTGCTGAAATCTGGGTGGCATTTTTAAGAGGGTTAGAAGCGATAGTTTTGCATTTCCAGCAAATCAGCTGGACTACTCGAAAGTAAAGCATAGAATTGCAAGAGAACTTAAGGTAAAGGTAAAGGTACCCCTGCCCGTACGGGCCAGTCTTGACAGACTCTAGGGTTGTGCGCCCATCTCACTCAAGAGGCCGAGGGCCAGCGCTGTCCGGAGACACTTCCGGGTCACGTGGCCAGCGTGACAAAGCTGCATCTGGCGAGCCAGCGCAGCACACAGAAACGCCGTTTACCTTCCCGCCAGTAAGCGGTCCCTATTTATCTACTTGCACCCGGGGGTGCTTTCGAACTGCTAGGTTGGCAGGCGCTGGGACCGAGCAACGGGAGCGCACCCCGCCACGGGGATTCGAACCGCCGACCTTTCGATCGGCAAGCCCTAGGCGCTGAGGCTTTTACCCACAGCGCCACCCGCGTCCCCTGCAAGAGAACTTAGAGGTCAACTAAACCAACCCACTGTTTATTTTTGGAAGCTGACTGCTGCAGCAATCTTGAAAGGTGGTCCTCAAGCTTCTGCTTGAGAAACTTCTAATGAGAAACATCACTTTCCACGCAGTGTGTTTCGCAGTTTCATTGTAAAAACTGTCATTATCATTAAACCTTGGAGGATTTTTTAAAAAAGATTTATATCCTGCATCAGTTATTCTTTTACTTTCATTTGTCTAATTTTTTTTTTGGCCCTGTTCCTTCTTCCCATGAATATTGTTAAGGGCCCATTAAATCCTGGATATCGGTTTTCAAAAGCATCGTCACCAGAGCGGTTAGAAAGCAAAGCAGAAAACCCAGGATTCAGTTGCTTTTGGAAAGGCAGCATTTACGATATACATATGAGAATGTTCCATCATGTATCTCAGTTATTTACACAAAGAGGGGAGTGATAACAATATTGATCTCTCTGTACATTGTGACAAAATGACTAGGCTATCTTGATACACATGCCCACCAACCATCAGGGATACACTTTAGAACAGAAAAATAAATAAGTACTGTTCCACCATTCAAGCCCACTCATGCAGTCATCAGATAGGTTTGCTGCATTTTGCCAAAGGCATTCATCTTAAGACTTATCAGTATTGGCATAGATAACTCCTACAAAGAAGATCAAACCTCTCCATTCTTAAGGAAATCAGCCCTGAGTGCTCACTGGAAGGACAGATCATGAAGCTGAGGCTCCAATACTTTGGCCACCTCATGAGAAGAGAAGACTCCCTGGAAAAGACCCTGCTGTTGGGAAAGATGGAGGGCACAAGGAGAAGGGGACGACAGAGGACGAGATGGTTGGATAGTGTTCTCGAAGCTACCAGCATGAGTTTGACCAAACTGCGGGAGGCAGTGGAAGACAGGAGTGCCTGGCGTGCTCTGATCCATGGGGTCACAAAGAGTCGGACACGACTAAACGACTAAACAACAGCAGCAACAACAACAACAACTTGCTTCCAATGGGCATGTGACAAGAGGACTCCCCCCGCCCTCATCAAATAGCCACATTCATTGTCCTGACACCAATAGTCCAAAATCCCTCTGCATTGCAAGGAAGGATAGATTAATCTGCCAGTTTAGGTTTATCTCAGTTTCTCATTTTGCCAGTATAAAATTCAGCTCTCCACACATTGGTTTGCGATTTTCGAAATTAAAAAATCCTCATTGAAATGTGTCGGCTTTTTTTTTTGCAGGCAGTTTCTTCTGATATAATGCATGTTCATGAATGCTTGTATTTATACACAAACTTTCCCCTAATATATGCATTCTTGCACATGCACATTAGAAGGAGATTTTTTTTTTTTTGCAAAATTCTGAGAAGTGGAAATTCGGGATGGGGGAAATAGCTGGCTTTGTTTAGACCAGAGGTCAGCAACCTAAGGCCCATGGGCCAGAAGCAGCCCATGAGAGTCGCTTAACTGGCCCGTGAGCTGCCCCCAAGCCAAGCTGCCCACTCGGCAAGTCCCCCCGCGCTGCGCTAAACCAGTGCAGTGTGGCATGGGGACTCTCTTCTGCGGCTCCCGAAATCGCTTCTGCGCAGGCATGATTTTCAGCATCTGGGCATGCGCAGAAGCAATTTCCGGCGCCACGGACATGTACAGACATGATTTCGGCATCGTGCTGTGCCAGTCCGGCCCACAGAGGATCTCTGCGGGAGTGATCTGGTAAGCCTTGCCAACCCCTGGTTTAGACACATGGGGACTAGGTAGGTTTGCCTTTAAATGTCAGCCAAACTGATTTTCTCTCTCATTCCTACAAGTGAGCACCTGTTGCGTTGGGGGGGTGTCCCTTGGCTGAATCCAGATGTTAGAAAACAAACGCAAGAAACACCACATTCCTTTTATGCTGCACTACCTGTTGCATTATAGAACTGTAGCCTTTGGATAGCTATACTGCCATGCCACGCTGCATTTCAAACGGTCGGAAAGAGCTGTCTGTTGCGAGACTGGCCCCAAATTTCATCACGTGGAATTGCAAAATAAAATTTTCCGAGTTAACAGGGTTGCAAACTGATATTTCCCCCTCTGGAAATAATGATCACAGAAACGAGTGCTAAACTTCCATTAGATTTCACCAGGCTTCCAGAAGCGGCTTTTCCATTATGTAAAAGATAACATAAAATGCAGAAGTGAACAGGGAAGGAAATGTCAGGGGAATGGAAGAAAGGGCCATCTGCATGCAGCCCCTTTCTATGCATCGCTACAATTGCCCCTGACGGAAAGAACCTTTTCTGTCCTTGGAGAGCCCTCAGTTTTTGCACAACTACACAGACAAGGGCCTCTATGCATGCTGCTGCTGTTGAAGAGGTGGCTGTTGATGAGGCCCACATGCCAGTGGTGTGCAAGAGCAGAGGCCAAAGCAGCAGCAAGGTACGGTGTGTGTGTGTGTGTGTGTGTGTGTGTGTGTGGTTCTGCACACACTCACACAGCCTTCTCCACCCAGGCAAGTGAGAGGCACTCGCGGAGTTCAAAGGCATATTCCAGCCAGGCAAAAACATTCAAGGAGGGCGAGAAACAGGGCCAGTGAGGGGTGTGGCGGGGGTGTGTGACCTGAGGAGAGCCTCAAGAGCCAGGTAGAGAGGCTTGGGGGGCTGCATCTGACCCCTGAGCATGAGGTTCCCCATCCTTCCCCTACACAAAAGCTACTTCAGCTCCAAGAAAAG